ATCTGCCTGCCTCTGCCTCCCAAGTGCTGGGATTAAAGGCATGCAAAACCACACCTGGCACATTTACTTATTTTTTTTAATAATAATAATAGTTTACATTTTCAATTGGGTCATATGTTTACTTGATTCTCTGGGGTTTTTTTGAGTTCTTTGTATATTCTGGAAATAATCCTCTATTAGATGTATAGATGGCAAAGACTCTTCCCCATATGTGCGTTTCCTCTTCACTCAACTGGTTATTTCCTTTTCTGTACATAATATTTTTAGTTTGATGAGGTCCCATTTGTCAGTTGTTGACCTTGATATCTGAGTGAACAAAGTCTGATGTAGATAGTCCTTTCCTACCCCTGTATCTTGTAAGGTACTTTTTCTTCTAACAGCTTTAGAGTTTCAGGATTCACACTCTTCACGCTGAGATCTTTATCCATTTGGAGTTTATTTTTGTATAGGGTGATAGATCTGGATTCAATTTCATTCTTGTACACATGGATATACAGTTTCATTAGCAGCATTTGTTGAAGATGCTGTTATTTCTTCAGTAAGTATTCTTGGCATCTTTATCAAATATCAGGTGGCTTTAATTACATGCAGTCATGTTTGGGTCTTTTATTTTGTTAAATTTAGCTAAATGTCTCTTTTTGTACCAATCCCATGCTGTGTTTTAAAATTGTTATTTTTATTTTATGTGTATGAGTGTTTTACCTGCATGTATGTAAATGTACCACATACATACATTACCCACAGAGGCCAGAAGATGATGTCGGATCCCCTAGAACTGGAGTTATGGAGGATTCTTGGCCATCATGTGGGTTCTGGGTATTGAACCTGGGTCCTCTGAAAGAATAACCAGTGCTCTTAGCTGCTAGGCCATCTCTCCAATCCCTACTATGCTGTTTTTATGACCATAATATAATTTGAAATCTGGTATGATAATCCCTCCTGCACTACTTTTTTTGCTCAGGATTGCTTTGGCTATCCAAGGTCTTTTTTGATTCTATACAAACTTTAAGGTTTTTTAATGCTGAAGAACACTTGGGTACAAATGCCTGAGTGAATAGGACTTAACCCTTAACCCTCAAGCATTTATAATTTCATACAACAGTTCTTAATCAACTTCAGACCCCCTCCCCCATTGATGCCTCCCCCAGCCCCCCACCAAACCTCATATATTCTGCCATACAGGTTAAGTCCTATTCATTCAGGCATTTATACCCAGTGTCCTTCAGTGTAAATGCATCCACTGGAGTCTAGTCAGCCCATCTAGTGATAGAATGTAAGGGCTACTCTCCCTCACCCAGCATCAATCAGTCTCCAATAGTTCTCAGTCTAGTGCTGGCCGCCACCTATTTCTGTCCTCCCCTTTGGGCCCTTGTTTAATTGAGTTGACATGGGTTCTTATGAATTTTCTGATTGAAACACACATATATAAAGCTTCAAAGCAAGAGAGAGGACATATGACATTTGTCTTTCTGGGTCTGAGTTACCTCAGTCAGGATGGTCATTTCTAGTTACCTACATTTACCTGCAAATTTTGTAATTTTGTTT